CATCACTGCCAAGTGTCAATTTGATCTAGGCCAATGATTCTCAGACTTTATCCTGCACCAGAATCACCTGGAGGGCTTGTTTAAACACAGATTGCTGGGTCTACTCCCAGTTTCTGACTCAGTAGGTGGGGCCACATAATTTGCATTCGTAACAAGTTCCAGCCTATGCTGACGGACCACACTTTGAGAACCGATGCTCTAGAGGTTAACTTTAGACGTATCCTAACCGCTCAGAAAGGAGGATCTGCAGGGAGAATTGGAAAGGCCAAGGAAGTCTTGGTCCCAGCATTTTAAAAACAGATGTCAGAGGGCCGAGGATGATTTAAATCAGTGGTGCCGCCGCCTGCCTCGCAAGCGAAAGGTCCTGAGTTCGATCCCCGGTACCAAAACAAGACAAAATAAAACAACAAAACAGATCTCAGGGAGAGGAGAGGAAACCAGAGCCGCTCCGTTCCAGCCGGCTCCCTGCCCCATAGGAATGGAGCTCATTGGAAATCAAGATTTCCGTTTGCATTTTCCCACCGTGTAAGCGTTAACACGCGCATACAAACGCGAGAGCCTGACAAAAACACACGTTTGCAGACTCTTCTGAGGACCATCTTTTCCAAGGGCGAGAGCGGGCCAGCTCCACACTGGGTAGGTGGGGCAGTCCCAGAGGGACACCATGCTCAGTGCCCTCCCTCTCGAGGTGCGCCTGGGTCTGGCCCTTGGCCGCCTGGTTTTCTTTGTCGCAGACACTGATGGGCTGGGTTAGAAAAGCACCCTGAACTCGAAGCGGGTCTTTGAACCAGAGTGCAGGAGTGGACCTAGCTCTCTGGCGAGGGAAACTGAAAATCTGTTCCCCTGGGGAAAGTGCACTGCGAACGCGCCCCGTCCAGTGCACCCTGGAATCCTGCGCGTGCATCCTCAGCGAGGGCCGGCCAGGGCCTACGCCCCGCATGAGGGGGAGCCAGCCCGCTGCTCCCCTGCCCCGACCCCAGACCTGTCGGGGTCCACGGCGGCGCCTCGCGCCAGGTCGCAGGATGGCCCTGGGTCTTTCTGGGATTTGATGCTGCCGGGCCGAGGACCTCACTTGGAGAACCCAAACCTGGACTGAACCTTGGCTCCGGGAAGGGTCTGTCCTCGGGCTTCCCTCCGGACGGGCCCGCGCAAGGCAGCTGAGCTAAGGGCCCGAGAAGGGAAGGCGGGAGCGTCCGACTGGCGTGGGGCGAGTGGGGTGCGGTCCTCGCGCCCTGCAACCCCAGAAGCCCCGGCGCCATCTCCTGCACCTCCTCTGGCCCTCGGCGACCGGGAGGCCACGGCCCGCCCGGGAATTCGGGCCTGACCAGGCTTCCAACGCTCGGGTGTGGTGAGGGCGAGGCCGCGCGGTGGGGCCGCCTCCCCCAGGGGCCCCTGAGAAACCCACTCGTATCTCCCGCAGGGGCAAACTCCCAGGCCTTGGAGTCTGCGGGGTCTGAACTGACGCTCTCGGGCCCCCCTGGGAACTCCCTGCGTTGAAGTCGGAGCGAGTGCCTCCGCCTCTGTCCTGGGGAAGTCGGGCCCCCCGGTGGGGCGTCACGGATCCTAAAATCCACCTCAGAAATCCGCTAGGAAAAATGTCCCGGGGGGGGCGGGGGCGGGCGTAGGGCTCCCTAAACTACTCGGGGTCCAGAAGAGGGTGGAATGGCTTCTTGGCCCTGGCAATAGGACCAGGCCCTTACCCCAAAACGTGTGCTGCGCACAGTACTCTTCCTCAGCGACTAAGGGAGCCGGGTCCAAGCGAAGGAACCCAGGGGCCGGCGGGGTCGCGTGCGGCCACGCGCTCGCACCCGGCCGACGGCGCCTCGAAGTGCTCAGCCTGCGCCTGCAGGGGGCGCTGCGGCCCTTCCCGCTCGGTGCGGCGCTTCAACCCGCGGCTGCGCTTTCCCACCTCATCCCCGGTTAGAGCGCGGACTCCGACGCGCTAGTTTAAACAATCAAACTCAGTGCCGGCCTCGGACTCCGCACCCTTAACCATTGCTCTAACGCGCGTAGCCCTCTTCGGCGGCCCCGGCCTTCTCCTTTCTCAGAGCCTGGGGCGCACGCACTCGAGCAGAGCAGAGCTCCCGATTCCTCTCGGCTCCACGAAAACAGCAAACTGCGAGAAGTTCAAATGCCAGAGGTCCCCGCCCCGCAGAGGGAGGCTGAGGAGAAGGGAAGCGAGTCCTCACGGGCAATGGCAGCTGGGATCCCACGGGGAAAAAAGATTAAATTTCCATAATTTGTGTTTTAAAGGGTAAAGGTGTTTAGGATGCCCGCGGCGCGCGGTCAGGTCAGGGCGAGGCTCGAGTCAGCCCCGGGGGAGCCTGTGCCTGACACCTGCTCGCCGATCCAACTCGAGCCTCCTGGGTGGCCGAGGGGGAAGGGGCCTGCTCGCCCCCTGGCCAGCACCCCTGCCTCCGGGGGCCGTGAACTTGCTGCTGTTGGGGTTCGGGCAGCAACTGCTCCAGTGTGCCTCGCCGGGCCATTTCCCTGGAAGCGTCCCTGGTGTCGAAAGCCCGGAGCCGCGAGGGCAGCAGAGGACCCGGTCGGCGGAAATTTCAGCGTCAACCGGCAGCGCAGTCCCGCAGGGCGCAGGGAGCAGGGCGAGGGGGACAGCTGCGCGGGGATGCACACCTGGGCGCGCAGCTGGGCCACTGCAGGCTCCGGAACGTCCCGCTCCGCACACCGGACCCCACAACACGTTCGTGGGCCGGTTGGCCAGTCTTCTGCTCTGGGCGCTGTTGCTGGGAGAGTCTAGCCGGTGAGCTGCTCGGGGCTGGGCCCCCGCCACGCGTGCGCCCCCAGAGCTGGCCAGGGCTCGGTCCTCGCCGGGTGTGAGAGCGGAGGATTCCCAGGGCCCATCCCGGGCGTGCGCCGAGGGGGTCCCCGGGAGGCCCGAGGCAATGCAGCGCCGCGCTCAGCCGCTGCCCGGCTCCCTACGCCGGGCGCGCACCTGTGCACCGCGGCGGCAAGGCCAGGAGGGGCTTCCTGAAAAGGCCGGCGCTCGTCGAGGCTTCTCTACCTTTCCAGCGGCTGCAGCGCGGGGCCGGCTTGGCCTAGACTCCATTTTGGAACTTCGCAGGCTGGGGGTGGGCGAGGTAAATGTTTATGGAAAAACTCGGGCTCAGGAGGTTTGCAGAAAGAGGGCGCAGCTCGTGGGTGGTTGGAAATTCTGTGTACCTCGCGGGAAAAGCGGGCGGTTCCGCACCCATCGTACGCACACACTGGGCGGGAAAGGTGTGAAGCCCGCCGCTGGGGCGTTGCCTCCACTTGGGTGAAAAAGAAATGCGAAGCATAGGAACACTCTTCAGGTCATCACCCCGCGCGTGTTTGTTCTGGGGGAAAGAAGAGAAAGTTCCCTACAAAGCTTCCAAATTGAGAAAAGCTGCGGAAGGAATGAGGCGGTTGGAGAGAGGGGACCGCAGGCATCCCCGAAGCTAAAATGAAAAGAGACTAAGAGCTAAAATGAAAGCACCCCAGTTTTAAAACCCCTAAACTCCAAGGCATTCTGCTACTTTCATGGTGTTGGTCAAATTTACTTTGAAGAGCTGAAGTACTTCAAGACACTGAACGCTCTGGTCTGCGTTGCAGCCTCACTTTTTAATCTTTGCGAACCTAAAACTAGAAATAGAAGAAAAGGTCTGCTAGTCCTGAATTATGTTTTACCAAAGAAACGAAAAGTTCTATCCACCTCGGCATTAATAAAATAGAGTTTTATCTTCATGAAATAGTGTTTTGTAGCTTCTGCCTGGGTCCCCAATCGCTGTTTAACCTTTTGACGGATTTAAGCCTCCTGCATCTATTTGCCCACTTCGTGGTTGAGGTTGTGATTATCCTTTGGGAAGACTCATCCCAAACCATCCTCTGGATGTACACTTTTGAGTTCTGTGCCCTCTCAGGAGAAGTGTGCCGTGGGCTAACACAAGGCTCCTTTGGCAACTCGTCTGGGACGAAGGACGTTTTGCTTAGAGTTTGCGTAGGCAGATCTCCTATTTAAAAAGCCACTTAAAATGCCTGTGTGTTATTCCCTTTCTGTCACTCGGTCACCCTGTTCCCCAATGGCCGAAGTGCGTTCTGCATTTACACTCACACAAGACTTAACCTTTAAAAGAACTTGAAAAATGTACCATTGCGCTTCAAATTCGATTCATCTTCCTGGCGACTGAACAATGAACTCAATTTTTTGCTGAGAAGGAAGATAATACATGTTTTGAGAAGCCAGAATACTATTTCTCTAAATTTTTTAAAGGATTGTTCTTCACCCATTCCAGATGGATTTTTTATTGTTTGCCAATAGGTTGCAGATGCCCACTCCTTTAACCAAGTTGGTTAACTGCTTATGAAATGTACATTAACTGATTAAAGCTTAGATATTGGAAGAAATTTCTCCTGGAACATTCCATATGTCTTTGCAGTAATTACGAAATTAGTCAATTGTCACCTCTATAAACAAACGTCGCTTTGAAACAGCAGACGAAAGCAGATTACACATACAGTCCTAATTGACTAGAAGTATGTATGAAACTATTTAAAATTGGGCAAAGGGTGATATGTGCCGGAAAGTATAATCCGGTACTGACTGACTTTACCTTTTGAAGAAGACAGTTGTGTTAAACGTATTAAGATGTGGAAATTAAACCGGGGAGCTCACCAAGTAAAACTACAAAATGCCCTTTGGGCTTCTCTTCAGAATCTGAAAAGCAGCGAACCAGCTGTTGAGTTTCTAACAGTACGTGGAAAAGTAGCACTGAGAAAGAAGGGGGTAGGCGTTGTCTTTGTGTTGGAGTTTTGAAGGGAGTCACCTTGGGCTCTCTCTCTGCAACAAGGAAACCTCCAGCAAACCTGTGCCTTTAAGACTCAGTTGCTATCCAAACACAAGTAAACAGAGTGGACCATTAGCGGGCGCCGGGCGCAGAGGCGGAGCCAGGGAGCATTGGGCCCTGCGCAGCGCGGGACGCCCGCCCGGAGGGGAGGCGGGGCAGCTACTAAAACCCAGGGCTCGAGGCCCCCGGCAGCCTAGGGAGGGACGCGGGCGGGGACGGAGCTCGGCGCGCTCGCTCGCTCGATCGCTCGATCGCTGCCGGAGGGTGATGGCCCTGCGAGGCTGCGGGCTCCGACTTCAACCGAAGTTCGCCGCGAGAGGCTCGCTCTGGCGCGGGGTCCTGGGCGAGCTCTGAGCGCCAGCCCCAGGCACTCCGGGTCCTTACACATTCCGCGCCCAGAGACTGAGGATCTGTTCTTGCTTTCGCTCTTCACGGTCCTCCAGATCATGTCCGCGGCTCCCGGGATTCCGCGCCGAAGAAGTTTGCCCAGCGTGGATCCGATGACTTCTCCAAGCTGTGCGCCCTGCTGCCTGGATCTAGTCTGAGCCGCGCTGCCCAGGCAGACCTTTCTGCCGGAGGTGAGTGTCCGCTCAGGAAGGGGCTGTAGCGGCCCCCGAGGGCCTGGGGGTGCAGGAAGCGCTCACTTTCTCGGTCTGGGGCGCCGCAAGTTTAGGTACTGTGAAAGGAGCTCACACGGGTGCAATCCCCGGGCCTTGTGTTTCTCACTTCCTTGGATCCCCAGCATGTGACTCCCACCTAACACCCAACTACACACACACTTTTCTATATTGTTTCTTAGTTCTGTTTTGGGACAGCAGATTTAAGCATTCAGCACTTCTCCTGCAAGCTGATCGACTTACGTTGAAATCGAACCCCACAACCCCATGACGCCGCTACCCCTGCCCCAGAAAGCCAGGCTTGACCAGTGCTGGGGGGGCTGCGGCAGCGCAGCGCGGAGGGGCCCGGAGACGCAGTGCCCGTCCCGCCCGCGCCGGTGCAGGCGCGTTTCAGGAGCGGAATAGTTCAGTCCTCAGTGATTCTCCAAACTGGTGCTGGCCTTTTGATTTTCTTCCCACCTTCCAGTGGTGGTAGAGAGCACAGAAAGCAAACTTCCCCAGGGCTTTAGAGCTTGGATTCTCGAGAAATAACCCAGAAAGGGGCTGCCCTGGTAGGAAGGAGGAGGGGGATAAAGGTGTTTTTGGAGAGAGGGCAGATCTGTCTCCCTACCTGTTAGAGAACAAAAGAGGGCTGGCGTTTCCCGGAGCCAAACTGGGCAGGCAGCTAGTTTCTCTGCAAAACCAACTGCAGTCGGGGACTGAGCAAAAAAATTACTTACACCGAGGGAGCGAGGGAGCGGAGAGAAACAACCCAGATTATGGAGAAGGCATCTTAATTTAATTAACTCCTTTAGAAGGAAGAGGCGCTGTGAAGGGGCAGGCACTTTCTGGCAGTTTTTCTCTATTCACCTGATCGATCCAGTCTGCTTTGTTGTTTGTTTGGTTTTTTTTGATCTGAGATCTACTTTGACTTTAGTTTTCTGATTTACATATAATTATATTGTGGATTGGCTTGAAATTCAGTGAGCCTATCCATCCATCCCTCGACTCTCTCAGATAACCAATGCATAACTTTTTGCAGCTGACCCTTGATTATATTATTTGTAGGTATTTCGGTGTAATAACACTGTTACCAAAGAGCGAGAGTCCTTATCAAATTACCATGTGCCTTCTCTTCAACAATGTTTTGAAAGCTTCACCGAACTGAAATTAGTATGTACAGATCTCCCTTGTTGACAGTGAACTAAATTTTTAAAACTCGTGCACATGCCTGGAAGTTCCCATGAAGAAGACTGGTGGAAGAAAAATAGCCTCAGTTCAACTAAACTACTTGTTTATGTCTTTTCATGGTTTAACTTTCACTCCTTGCAAAATTAAAAGTATCCAGTAGTCTGAAACAGGATTGTAGAGAAATGACAGTGGACTATGACGATGATTGTTGTACATAGCTCAGTTCTAATCAAAACGAAAGTACTTTAGATCTCTGCATTGACTTAAAACACACTTTGACATAGATTCTCAGCAATTCCAAAGGAGTGTGCATATCCACACTTCCTAATTATTTATGGCAACAGTGACTGGTGGATCTTAGGGTTGTTCTGCTTGCAGAGGGATTTCAGAAGGCTCTAATGCCTTGCTCTTCCACTGAAGAAACTAACTGCAAATTAAAACCAACACATACTATAAAATAGCACTTTTGGGCCAACATGAAGCTGAATTATAGTCACTGATTTCTACAACATAAACTGTTCAGGAAAAAAAGAAGGGGAAATATGATGACAGTCAACTTTTCTGCCAGTAGAATTAACATTGTAGCCTTTATGGCAAAGTTCACTTTGCGCTTTTCAAATCCAAATCGCAGATCCTGATAGTCCTTCAGCCAACAACACCCCCTTTGCTCCCTCGCCCCTGAGCCGTAGTAGGAGTTGTGCTTTGCCTCCTGTATTTATTTCTAAGAAATCTAGTCTGGGAATACACCCAAAAAATAATTTTGGTTTCCTCTCTATGGGGAAAGGCTGCTTTTCAACACCAGGGGGAAAATATTTTGAATCTCTGGAAAATCCTCATTACCCCAGGAGAAGGAAATAAAGGTGAAATTTATTATAATTTTAATTGAAGGGGAAATAATCAGATCTATTACCAGGGATGCTAGTGGAATCCTTTTTGCCTAACTCCCTAGGGGAATGCTTGAGGGTTGCCCCTGAACAAGAGTGCATAGTGATTTGTGGTGGGAAAGTCTATTACTAATGGGAGTTTAAAGTTTCGGTTGAATGGTCTGACTGAGACCCTCTACTGTCACACACCTCCCCTTAACTCCTAGGCTGAACTCCCAGACCTCATACCACAAGGCAGAAGCAGTCGGTTAATAAATCTCTGTCTCTGAGCCATTCCAAGCAGAGGAGGAAGGTGTGGGTCCCAAGGAGGCCGCCAGAGTCTGCCTTGGCAGGGCGCTGTCTTTTCAGCGCAGCCCCCTAAGTCTGCGCTCAGAGTCACAGGCACCCATTCGCTTCTCACTGCGCTGGAGAAGGAAATTTGGCGCAGAAAGGGGTGGGGGTAGCGGAAGGTTGGGCAGACTCCCTAGCCTTCGGGTTGGGTTCAGACGCCCCAAAGGGCAGTGCGGTTGGTGGGGCAGACTTACCAGGCCACCCGAGCCCGCTTAACTGAGTCCCGCACCTGGGAGGGAAGACCAGTGCCCATGGCATAGGGGAAACCTGCTTCTCCCAAGGGGCTGGCAGTGGGCGACGTGGGGCCCTGTGATCGCAGGTAGGTGCTCCTGGACACCCGGGTGTGTACTCCTACTTCTGAGTTGTTTCTGGGGGCCCAGAGAGCAGGGAGCGCCTGGATTAGGCCAGGCCGCAGATCTCAAGGCCGGCCTTTCTGGTGGCAGGAGCCCCTCGCGCACCTCCAGGCCAGCTGGGCCGCGCTGTACCCGGCCTGCTGCGGCTCCTGCAGCTCTTTCCTTTGGCCTCCCTAGGCACCCTGTCCTTTGATCTCGATCTCGTCTCCCCGTCTCGCCGGGCGTAGGGGCCGCTGCTCGTACTAGACCGGGAAGCCTCTCGGGCCTCGCTAAAGCTTGACATTCAGTCCGGGAAAGGGGGTTCCGGCATCAGGGGCGTTCCCCACCCCCACCCCACCCTCAGCAGTCAGAACCATCTGGAAGGGATCTTAGTGAGGGGTGGGAGGGGAGACAGCCCCTGGGAAGGAGGAGGGGTGATTTCAGGCTGAATCCAGCCCCCGAAGGTGTCACTTTTCTTTCCTTCGGCCGTCACTGCTGATAAATGGGACTGAGGCAGGGGAAGGAAAAGGAAAACCTCTGAAGTCAGCGCGGGGCGAAGCCGGGCCCTCTGAGGCCCCCAGCCCAGGAAGACCCAGCATGTCCCCCGGGCTCCCGAATGCCCTGTGGCATGGCAGGTTAAGCGCGGAAAGGCACCTCACCCAGGCCGAGCCAGCCTGGAGCTGGGGGTCTGTCCCCCAACCTGTAGTCCCCAGGGAGCCGGGAGGCCGCAGGCGACAGTGGCTGGGCCGTGGTAGTGGCAGTGGTCGACGCAGCTTCCCTGGAGGGTGAGGTGGGTGGGCTCGCTGAATGGACCTCTGCAGACGCAGCTGTGCGCCCCAGGTGCCGGGGACCCGACCTCCCTCAGTCCCGATGGGGCTACTTTCCGCCCGACCTTGAGGACCCATCTCGGCGGAGTGCGGACTCGGACTCGTAGCGCAGGCACCAGCCGCCTCCCGAAGGCTCCTTCTGGGAGTCCTAGATTGGGTGGGGGTGAGTTAGAAGAAAGCTAGGGAACCCGTGCGGGCCCCAAGGGCAGGCGAGGCTAGCTTCAATGAGAGTCACAATCTTTCCCTTTCTCTCCCTGCCATCTTTAGGGCTTTCTCTGCCTGCTGTTGTCTCTTTGCGTTTTCGCCGGAGCTCTACGCCCACCCGCCTCTGAGTCTTGGAAGAGAGGGGCGGCTCCTTCTGCCCCCAAGCATCTCGGAAAATGGGGAGCAAAGCCCTGCCAGCGCCCATCCCCCTCCACCCGTCGCTGCAGCTCACCAATTACTCCTTCCTGCAGGCCGTGAATACCTTCCCTGCAGCAGTGGACCACCTGCAAGGCCTGTACGGGCTCAGCGCTGTGCAGACCATGCACATGAACCACTGGACGCTGGGGTACCCCAACGTGCACGAGATCACCCGCTCCACCATCACCGAGATGGCGGCGGCGCAGGGCCTCGTGGACGCGCGCTTCCCCTTTCCTGCTCTGCCGTTTACCACTCACCTATTCCACCCCAAGCAGGGGGCCATTGCCCATGTCCTCCCAGCCCTGCACAAGGACCGGCCCCGTTTTGACTTTGCCAATTTGGCCGTGGCCGCCACGCAAGAGGATCCCCCCAAAATAGGAGACCTGACCAAGCTGAGCCCGGGGCTGGGAAGCCCTATTTCAGGCCTTAGTAAATTGACTCCGGACAGAAAGCCCTCCCGAGGGAGGTTGCCCTCCAAAACGAAAAAAGAGTTCATCTGCAAGTTTTGCGGCAGACACTTTACCAAATCCTACAATTTGCTCATCCATGAGAGGACCCACACAGATGAGAGGCCGTACACTTGCGACATCTGCCACAAGGCCTTCCGGAGGCAAGATCACCTTCGGGATCATAGGTGAGGTCGGAAGGGGGTTGGCTGGGAGAGCGAAGGAGAATTTCTTCACGGCACCAAATAAATATTCCAAACATCCCAAATTCGCTCTGATCTAGACAGCACCCCCCAAGGCCCTCCCTGGCTTCCCCTGACCCCTAACAATTCCCATCGTTTACGTTTTCCCCAGCCGTCCCTGCTGCGTTGTTTGGGATGAAGGAGAGCCTTGCTCCAATGGGGCAGGGAAGTCTGGTGGTTTAGGCTTGGGATCCTTAATCCTCTTTCTTCCCAGTCTGTCGCAGGGGTGGGGTGGGGGTATAGGGAGCAAGAAAAGTTGAGGGACCGCAGAGTCTTTCCCAAGATAGGGTGCCAGTGCTGGATGCCCAGGACTATTTCTGGAAAATCTGTTCAGACCACCTTTACTGGGCTTCCTCCCTCCACCTTTTCCTTCCCTCAAGGTGCCCCAGCCTGCTGCCTGGACTCTTCCAAGCTATATTTGTGAGGGTCTTGAGGTCACTGAATTTAGAAACAGATCCCATCTCCCCTCCTTAAATTTTGTAATAACAAACAAATTGAAGAAACAATTGAAGAAATACTGTGATGCAAGTGTTCTTATTGTGAAAAAACTTGCTAGGAGCTGGTGTGGAGGTACCTTCTCTGGGATCTGGCTGCGTGTCCCTGAGGTGGGACTCCAGGATCCACCCTCCAAAGCTGTGAAGGGATCCTCAGAGACCAGTCCCCTGAACTCAGCCTGGTCATGCATCCTGATTTGGCCAGTTTAAACCCCAGATAAAACCTGGAGGCCAAGAAGGCTCATTCAGCACGATTTTGAGCTGGAGAATATGCCAGAGAGGGCGATCAAGTGTAGATAAAGCCAGCCGCCCGTGAATGTTTTGAAGAGTCTGTTAGCTGAGGTTAACCATAAACAGAATTACACAGAAAAAAAATTTAAAAACATAAATCATAGAAATTCTGTTTCTTTTGTCTTTCCACGACTTCGTTTAAGTAATTGACAAAAGATACTCCTTACCATGGGGACAATACATTTCATGAACCCTTATATTGATTTTCAGGTATATCCATTCCAAAGAAAAACCCTTCAAATGTCAGGAATGTGGGAAAGGATTTTGTCAGTCCAGAACTCTAGCAGTTCACAAAACTTTACATATGCAGGTAAGTTTGTTTTCTTGCTTAAAAATAGTGAGTGGTTCATTTAATCATTATTGCTTTATAGAAGGTATTCAGTGGCAGGATCAGTCTTCTAAATGGTTATATTTAGATTAGTTCTCTAGATGTGGAAAAGCAGCACTCTTGATTTTTTTAATACATAATAATCTTATTGATATAAAACATTTTTGTTTTCTTAAAGAACAGGCCACTCTGTTTATAGTAAATCCTAATTTTAGAATTATTATTTTTTTCATCTGATCTGCCCTGCATTAAAGCTTTCATGTTTGGGAGGAAATAAAGGTAATTTTGATAATAGAGGCATGATGAAATCCCATACGCTCTCTTTCCCAGGGGCCTCATACTTCGTAGCTTTCAGAACTTGAGGAATAGTTTAATTTTCCAGCAAAGAGGAACCTTATTACCCGGGAGAATGTCATTCCTTAAGAGAGGATTAGAGTTTTTCCTTCCCCCTTTTCCTGCCTATGACATGGTGATGAAATGTGTAAAGCTGAAAATCACAAAGCCTCCGTGAGGTGGCCGCAGGTCTACCACCCAGTTATCAGTGTCATCAGGCCTCTGTGTGTGCCTGCACGTGTGTTTTCTTGATTGGAGGATTAGGAACACAGGTTTGTTCCTGCAAGTCTCCTCTTTTGTTGTGTCTTGTTATGTTAAGGCTTGTGATACGGATAAGACAGAAACTATTGAGAAGGGTGCAGTAGTGGTGTGAAGGATTAATCCTTTGCTTGCTTCACATCTGAACAGGAATCTCCACACAAATGCCCCACATGTGGAAGAACCTTTAATCAGAGAAGTAATCTGAAAACTCACCTTCTCACCCATACAGACATCAAGCCCTACAGCTGCGAGCAGTGTGGCAAAGTGTTCAGGCGAAACTGTGATCTGCGGCGGCACAGCCTGACTCACACCCCGCGGCAGGACTTCTAGAGAAGCCCAGGATCTGTCCCGTGCCGCCGCTGCTCCCTTCCCTAGACTCCTCTCCATGCCTCCCACCCGAGGGTCCCCCCCAACCCTCACTGACCCTGTCTCTTCCCTCCTTCCCTCGCTGCAGCCAGCCGCACCTGCAGCTCCAGGGGGAGCTAACTGTTCTTCCCAAGGACTGAGAGCTATAGAAAGCCACACTACCACACCCCATTCACCAAGAGCATATGCTAGTTTCTTGTAGATATTCACAGCTCATTTTAGAGCTCTTGTACATAGTGTCATGGGTCTTTGTTTTGTTGTTTTGTTTTTGTATCTCTTTGGATGCACCTAGATATGGAAAATGGAAGCCAAATTTATCTTTAAAGACTGTATTTTCAAAATAAAAAATTTTCTTGTTTGTTTCAACACTCCTGCAAAAGTGTCTCACTATTCAACTTCTGTTTTTCCTCTGGATTCTGGAAGAGTGTGAGGGGATCTCTTCAAAATTCAACATGGAAGGGTATTCTTCATTGCTAGGTTTTGAAATAGTACTTCTTACAATACTCCTACTGAAATTTAGCCCTTTCCTTTCTGTACTGTGGCATTTGGAATTAGACAATTGGGCTGCCCCTTTGTTTTTCAAAGATATTAAAATGGATATGCTTGAGGTTTCATTCCCTTTTACTTATTCCAATTCCTTGTGTCTTATTTTTTCAGACAAGAGCAATATAATAATCATTAATAATAATATGCACCTCCAATGGCTGCCTTCCTGGAAAGCTCAGGGTGGGACAAAGTGTAAAGAAAGGGGAGAAAAATGAGCTTCTCACCACTTCACTTTCTGGAAGTCTGTGACCTGTTGTCAAAGTTTATGATGGGCAACTTCTCCTACCATTAGACTTTGAACACTATGATTTATCACTATAAGCAGAGACTTTATCCTACTTGCAGGAGAGAAGTCTAAAATCCTCCCACAGAAGAATACAGGAAGATATACCCGTCGAGAAGATTGGGAAAAGAGGAAGGAGAAACTACTTAGCTATATTTGCACATAATATTTCTTTCCAAGGTTGGAGATTGTTTCTGCTAGAAGGTCAGGATTTCTTCACAAAGCAAAATGAGTTAGATCACTAGCAAGGTTTCCATCACCAACTGGCCTTTTGTTCCTGGGAAAATATCAGAATGACTGATTGCTCCAGGCAGAAAGCCCATGGCAAATATATGATCACCTTCTCAGGCATTTCAATCTTTACCAAATACTTCCTAAGGAATATGACAATAGTATAATGACAAGTAGTATAATGACAATCTGAAAGTGCAATGCAGGATTTGGGTGGGAGGCTTTGAATAGAGATAAACAGGAGTATTATCCACAGTATAAAGGAGAAATGACTGGATTTAAAGAGGGAACACTAGAGGAAACTATGGCCCAGTGTCCCTGTAGGTTCTCACAAACTGTTTACTACTACACAACAGGCTGAATTAAGCATTCTCACATTTTAAAAAATTAGAATATGTATGAGGGGATGGCATGTTTAACTTTCAGCATTATATCGGGCAACATGCCTATATTTGTACCTTGGAGTCCACCAGAGGGATAGGGCTAGGTTCAAAATTTATCACCAAAATTGATCACCAGTGCCTTGTTCAATACAACTTACAACGAGGTTTTAAAAAGTGTTCCAGACTCACTGCTCACCCTGTTCTCAGGGAAGCTGGCTGGAAGTTATTTCTGCATCTCACTGGAAATGATTTCTTGCCAACAAAGTGTCTACTCACCTTTCCATATGTCTCATGCACAACTAAATGCATTCCCCAGCATGAGATGAACCCAAAGGCTTCACTGAGGACAAGGGGCAGGGATGGAGTGTAGAGTACATGTGTATTGGGTATTTGGAGCAATGAAATCACTGTTTGTTTTCTGTTGTTTGTACAGAATTAACTCAGTGACCTCTTCTACCCCTACTCTCTCAAGATCCTCACTGGCTTGGCACAGAAGGTTTGAATACTTTAGGGCAGGGTTACACATTGACTGTCTCTAGAGCCTCTCCTAATCCTGTAGGGTTTTTCCGTATAGTCAGTCTCACAGCCCCACCCACCTCTACTGACTACAAATGTCACAGTTCCATTCACAGGGTTCAGTCGAATTATCAAAGAATGACCCTTGCTCACTGTCAAACTGCAGGCATGTCCTTGAGGTCCCTGCCACAGGGATACATAGATAGGTGTAACCAGAATACTGCTCCTCTCCATTTATTTTAGTTGAAAAAACTCGAGTCAGAGTGAAAGAGGAAGGGCAGAGGAGAAAGTGAAAAAAGCATTTCTTCTTCCCATACAAATATTGTTTCTAAAGTGAAGATTCATTTACTTAGAGTTCATTTCTTTACTCATTACTTTAATAAATGCTTATTACATGATTTTTGTATGGCAAGCCCTGTGCCAGGTTCTACTGATTTTTATTATTAGTTTCTGCCTTGCCATATCTACTGGCGAGTTTTTGGAATCTTGACTACTTGCATAATTTAAAAATCTATGATAGGGCTCAGTTTAATAGCTGCATTCAACCCAGACTTAAAGCCAGCATCCATGTAGACTCAGAAAGGACCTAGCTTCTGTCAGAGGAAACTCCACACATTTTTCTTGATCTCAGATGAATGGTGGATTCCTCTCTAAATTCTAGATTTAGTTTTGTTTGTTAGAATGTCTAAGTATACAGGAAATTAATCTTATATGAAGTGAACTTATGAGACATTATCAGGAAAATGAGATCTTGTATCTTAGGAAATTAGTCTGCTTCTTGGTTCTGTGGAGTCATTTGAGTTTTAGATTATCCTGTGTTTTCCTTACACCTTCTCCCATAGTCAACTTACGAATCAATGCTTCTGGCAAGAGACCAGGGCAGGAAATATCATGAGTCATAATCACAGTGCTAAAGAACTTGGTGAATAACAGTGAAGAATTACTTTTGAGTTGCAACAATGATCTTGTTTTATCTTCTATATGTGAACTTGTAAAAATAACTTCTAAAAATGAATTACACTGTAATCAATTGTTAATGTAAAATTATGAATGTGTGTTAGGTGCTCTTACTGATGCTAATCTTAAAATGTAGGTCATTTTAGTACTAGTGTTCTATTTTTAATAGTTATTTATTGATGTCTTGGGCATTGAACCCAGGGCCTTTGCACTGAGTTACATCTGCAGCCCTTTTTATTTTTTATTTTGGGATAAGTTCTTGCTAAATTCCTAGTTGCCCAGGCTCAAACTTGCAATTCTCCTGCCTCAGCCTACCAGAGTGCTGGGGTTATGAGCCAACATCCCAAGCTTGCATTTTACAATTATAGTAATTATAGTTGCTATTTTGCACAGGTACATTTTCTTTTATAGGAAGAGGCCTTTCTAAAATTGACTCTCAGGCAACTAAATAATTAAAAAGTCAACAAATCTAACATCTCAAACATCTCAAAAATGGGCCCATCTACTAGTAGTGAGGAAATCAGAGGCAGTTACTGGGAATTTCTTTTGTTCACTCTTTTGTTGTTTTGTTTTGTTTTTGACACAAAGACTCACTATGAAGTTCTGGCTGCTCTTGAACTCACTGTGTAGCCCAGGCTGGGCTAGAACTCATGATGATCTTCCTGCCTCAGCCTTCCAAGTGCTGGGATTACAGGCATGCAGCACCACGCCTGGATTCTTCTTCTGTTCGTTTTTAGATGTTAGCATAGACATTTGGATCTCATCACTTAAATAATATTCTATCAAGTACCCCTTCCTTAACTTTGATTTTAGAAGGGCAGCCTATCCTTGTCAGGCAGTTGGGAAACATTAGTTAGTGAAGATTGCCCGCATGCCTGACTAAATGCATTTTGGATTAAACACTGTGTAGAATCTATAGCAAAGACAAAAAAACGTTTGGGCAACTTAGCAAAACTCTGCCTCAAAAATGAAAAAAATAAAAAAGACAGAGGATGTAGCTCAGTACAAAGACCTTAGGTTTGATTCCTCAGTATTAAAGAAAAAAAAGCAAATTTTACACAAGGAAAGATTGCTGTAGTAGCTTGCCTTTCTTATTATCAAACTAAGTTTATTATTATTCTAAGAAAAGAAAAAAATTGATGTAACCATGTAACACATTCCAAACACAAATGATTTTTTGTATTTTAGAGAATTATTTACATTCACTTTTATTAGTGTGCTAAAATGTATTTTCCAATTTTCTCCAAAAATGTAACTTGCTACTAATAATCACTCTGCTAACAGCAATGAGTAATAAACAGATTCAGAATGATTAAGCTTTGATGACCTGAGATATTTCAAATTCATTCCTGATTCTTTTTTCTTGCTTTTTGGGTTTTCTCCCCTAAATTTCTAATTTTTTCCCTAAATTACCCTATTATCTAAACCATGTAGCTTTTTTCTTGAAACTATCCAAGGCAAAAACTGATAGTGAAAATCTGTAAGTAACCTAACTAAGCAGAAAATTGTTAAGTAATTATTAAATTCTTAAGCAAATTATAATGCTATGCCTGTTAAGATCCAAGAAAAAGAAAAACCAACAAAAATGGATACAGCAATAGGATATTGATCTTCTTACATTACAATAAGTCACAATGCAAGGTTTAGGGATTCATAATTAATTGGAGTTAACAAGATAATCTAGGGCCAGTTCTTCCCACTTTCCTGTTCTTCCATCTTAAGTGCTTACACCGGGTGCCCTTCATAGCCACAAGATGGCTGGACGAGCTCCACAGTCTCCTCACATATCTTCTGTGGGCAAAAAAAAATTACTTCTTCCGTGTATCTCTTTTTAAACACTAAGAAAAGAATCTCTCCCACAAATCTAACTTGTAGATTTGCTCTTCTCTTCTTGGCCAGAAGTAAATCATTTGGCCCTTCCTCAGCCAATCACTCACAAGGGAATAGAATTAGACCATGATTGCCTAAGACTAAGTAAAAAATCATCTTCTACCCATGGAAACCAATGAGTATCTGAAAAAAAAACACACCTTAATCCTTTTAGCAAGGAAGATAGGAGAACTGGCTATTGTTAATATTAGGCAGATAAAAAAATGTTTCCATTAATGACCTTATGTTTAGGAGATGCTGATGTTAGATGCAGGATACTTAATGGCATATACAGAATCTTCTCAACCATATAAAACAAACAAGACCTTCCAAAAACTAAGACCTAGAGAAAATATACCCAAATGTTAATAGCAGTTATTCATAAATGACAAACCAAAGGTACATTTTCCTCCTTCTTTTCTTATTTTTCAATTCTTTCACAGTGAGCACATTACTTTTTTTTTTTGGGTACTGGGGATCGAACTCGGGTCCTAGCACTTTCAAGACAGGTGGAGTAACCACTGAGCTAAATCCCCAGCCCCGAGCACGTTACTCTTGTTAAAGGAAGAATGTATCACACATTATTTTTAAAATCTAAAATACGGCCTTAATTTGCTCAATATATTTACTGTTTAATCTTACTTTATTACCTCTGACTAGTAGGCTTGTCTCACCAACATAAATCTTCATGTCGTTTCTAAACTCTTCATTTAATTTAGTTACATCTTTATTTTCTGGTTTTCCTTTCTTCCTTTCTTTTCAATTTGAAACTCCATTTCCTATCTTTTCTCTTCTCTAGAATTCTTTATCCTGTTTCTGTGTTTTCTCC